TCTCAATAGATGTACTTCTAAATGCTCGTAGTGCGTTTTCTTAGACCATTATTATGAATTGTATTTAGAGATTTTAATATAGACATTTTGGCAGAACATTAAGCGATGCATCCATAATCGAGTTTACACCTGATTAACGATTTCTATACTGATAATATTTTGGTCGGAATCCCACTTCATGTTTGATAATGCTTTTAAAATATTTATTCTTATATGGCAAGTTAATTGTAACTGTTTTCTATGTTCTCGCCATGTCAGTTTGTTGTCTAAATGCTTCCAAAAATTTAATATGAGGATCTACTGTTATTGGTTTCCCGTATAACGTAAGATTTGACGCAGTACTTACATTTGCTGTTTTTCCAAAAACCATGACTCTTGTTTTTGTAGTAGAAAATACAAAGCCAGTATTTAGACACCAAGTTTCCAGTTATCTCTGTCTATATTTTACTTTTGTAAATACCACTAAATCGTTGATCATAAATGCATGTATTTAAAAGTTTTTCTGTGTTTTTCAAAATATCATTAATCTCTTTGAGGAAGAGTGTTGGGCTAAGAACAGACCCTTGTGGATACTCTGTTTGTTAAGCAGTGATTTATCGAGCACGAATTAGAAACGCCTACCCGAAAAGTCCGATTGGTTAAAAAATTGGTAATGAACGATAAACAGTGTCCCCGGATATTTCATTTCATACCACGTTTTTAGAATCCTGAGTTTCCTGGCAGTATTAAGGGTATTTTTTAAGTCAAAAAATATCGCGGTACATCTTCTATTAGTTGCAAACGTTTTCATAATATCGTTTTGGAGTTCCAGAATGTTATCAGCCGTTGATCGATTCTGCCTATATCCATTTTGTTCAGTAATCAGTAATCGATTTTGTTTCAACGTCCACATTAATCTACTGTTAACGATTTTTCTAAAGTTTGCACATGGAACAAGTAATTGAAATTGGCCTGTATGATTCCACACAATATCGGATTTTTGTCTTTTAAAAGAGGTAGGACGTAGGAATTAGTCCATATTTAAGGAAAATGCTGTTGCGTCTATATGAAATTAAATATGTCAAGTAGATGATATTTGGCTGAGTCCAGAAGATGCTTTGGAAATATGGTTGGGATATCATCGGGTCTAGGACAAGAATCTTTAAGTCTTGAAAGTGCTGAATTAAGTTCTTAAAATGTAATGCGACTATTAATTGCTACGTTAGAATTTTTCATTATAAGGAAGAGTATAGTTATCAGATGATGAATTTGAAGAATCTGTACGTGAATTTTTGTCGTTTGAGAGGCTTTCCTGAAAATTCGCTAGAACGTTTGCAATATCTGCATCGTTGGATACTATTTTATTGTACTTTTGAGTGTTTAATAAAAGTCCTATGCGGAGTACCACAAATTTTTCTAATTTTTTTTTCACACTTCCTTGAAGCTAGTTGTGCTATTATTTCCGATACAAACTTCTGCCATAAATTCCTTTTAGTTTGCGTTATAATAAGCAGCGCTCTTGCCTTAAATTTTTTAAAATAATTATGTTTTGCGGTGTCTTGTGCTTGTTATAATTATTAAAAGCAGATTTACTATTTTTTATGACCTCTTCGTATTCTTTAGACCACCACTGTATTGGTGTACATCCCCGTATTTGTTTTGTTTTACCAATATGCAAATATAGCACCTTCTTAAATTATGCCATTAAGTGATTTTATGGTTTAGTCAATATCATTGGTTATTTGGTCCCTAGATATGAGACTATTAATATATTGAGAAAATAATCCAAATCTACGTTGTTAGTTTTCCACTTTGGACTAAATTCTTGATGTTTTTGCACATAATTAAGGTTCTTAAAAACTATGGACAAGTGATTAATTTTGTTGTAAAAGGCCATACTTCCCACTCTAAACCTATGGTTAAGTTAGGATCACATAAAGAAAGATCTAGAACTGATGATTCACCTGTCGATATACGAAATCTAGTAGGGTTACCATCTTTTAAAAAGTTTAGATGAAAATCTGTAATAATGTTTTCCAATATATGGCTTCTTAAATTTGTATTTTGGGAGCTGCAAATTGTATTAAGACTATTTAGGTCACCTAAAATTAGGCGCGGTGTGAGTATCTGATCAAGAAGTTTGCGATAGTCTTCGTAACTAGCTTGTATGTTAGGAGACAAGTAAATATTACAGATGTAGAATTTTCCATGTGGTTCTGAAATATTTACCGCAATGACTTCAAGATCTGTTATGAGTGAAAAGGCTTTATGGTCTATTAAATTTTTTACCAAGATTGCCACTCCTCCAGTAGCGCGAATGGAGTTCGTTCTATCTTTTAGGAAACACTTGAATTGTTTTGGTGGGTATATATTGGAAAGAGTAAGGTAAGTTTCTTATAGGCATATTATTTCTGCGGAGTATTCTAAATGAATGATTTGTAACATGGGTAGGCGATAAAACAGTCCATTAATATTCCACTGTAGTATATAATTGAAAATTATTCATTGAGGGAGGATACTTCACTGTCTGTAATATCGTTACCTAGGTAGTGTTGCAATTTATTTTTAAGACAGGTAAAACGTTTCGTAATTTTGTCGGATATGAATGGATAAGATATGGTTAACAGATTTATTATTAAGAAAATCTTACCAAGAAAATACCAAGAAAATCTTATGGATATTCCTTGACAAGTTTTATAGGTGATTGACTGCCTTGAAAATTTTCAATTAGCATCATGAGTGGATCATGATTTAATAAAAGTGATGTGGAGTTTTCATTCATGAATAATTTAAGAGAATCAGAAGTTAATGCTGTACGTTTGGATTTTTTGGTTTATGGGTTTTGATTTTGTGAGATATGGGTGGGGGGTAAATAATTGGGTATTTCTATTTAGATTTTCAATGGAAGGAGATAATGTTTCGTCAATGCTTATTTACAAGAAAATGTTCTCATCGGCAATTGTATTTATTTTCTTTTTACTAGGCGGTTGTTAAATTTCTGGAATAGGAGGAATTAAAGATGGTTTCGGAGTAGGTGTAATATTTGGATCACCTACCCTAACTTGATGTTATTGGCTATCAATATCGATAGAAGACAGATTGTCTTGAGATATGAAAATTATGCAAGGGGTGTTTTCATAATTTATTTTAATAGAATCTGGGATAGTGATATTATGTGGACTAACAAATAATTGTCTTTTAAACTTTAATATGTGGTTATACTCTGGTAGTGTAGCACCGATTTTTAAAAACGGTTATAGAGGAAATAATTAATTATAATTAATTCTCGGATAAGCACTTCATGGTGAATTGTTGGACTGACTTTAGATAACGCTAGCCTTTCAGCAGGCTTTATAAGTCTTCTAGCTCGTAAGATTTCTCCTTGCACTGTAATAGAACAATATTTTTCCATAAATTGATCTCCGCTGAATTTAATATTTAGATATATAAACAAAAAACTAATAAATCCAGTTTAGATTTAAGTTTAACTAATAAGAAATATATAAACTTACAGTTTTAAATAATGTTTGTAACTGTAATTTATAACGTTTAATATTCTCATTTTAACACAAAAATATCAAAAGCCGAGACAAACGTATTTTTTGCAATTCCGTACTATTGTTTTGTATAGTTTTATTTTTGTATTTTCCGATATAATTGTGAATTTCAGAAAGAGATTAAGCCCAAAATGACATCTGTTGGCCGTACAAATTCTGCGGTTTATCTCCGCGATAGTACTATTTTCAGTGTTAACGTCAACGTCGTTTTCTATAACAACTGGTCGCAGGATTTGTGGTTGTGTGCTTATTTCATGTACTTTATACATTAATTGTGATTTTTAATATATCTATTATAGCTGAACAATTATAGAACTGTAATCAAGCAATAGCATAGAAGCAAACAACCAGCTGATACGCCTAGTCAATACTGAAAGCGATCCATGATTCTTCCGTATCTGGATTCTATCATATCTTCTCTAGAGACACGGTTTCCCAAAGAAAATACGCCAGCATTCGCTGTGAGTCTTCTGCATCTTAACAGTTTTGTAAAAATTGATTTAAATTGTCTTAAATTAGAACTGAGACAATCCTTAAACCACTATGAAATAGATGGAGTAGATACAGAGCTAGAAGTATGGGTAGAACATTGGAATATAAAACGCCTTAATAATGAGTTAGACAACTTCAACACCCTTGAAATTTTTTAACTGGTTCGTCCACTACTTTTTAACCGTTAACAAAAAATTGCTGGAAATTTTCGTAACATGGCGTTGCATACGTGTACAGTTGAGAGGTCGTTCAGCAGAATTCGAAGAATAAAAACATGGTTGTGAAGTACAATGGTCGAAGATCGCCTTAATGGATTACCTCTAATGAGCATTCATCGGAAACAAGTATTACCAAAAAAGGAAGAGTTTGTAGAGCAAGTTTTACAATAATTTACAATTGATCCGCGTAAATTGTTATTTAAATAATAGTATTTAGGAACAAACAATTTATCTTATCTGATCTCTTATCTTATCCAGAAGAAAATAAACTTTTTCAAGTTTTTTTTAAAAAACATTAAAAATGTTTTTAAATATTTAAATTATATTTAGTTTGCTTTATTTTTGTATGAAGGCGTTGCGTTGAGTTATAATTTTGGATCCAAAAACGTTATTTTCAAAACTTTTCTAAGGGAAACCCTTCCCCCTTCCTCCTCTCAGTGAAACTCTCAATTTACGTATATATTTATTATTGCTTATCTAACCAATTTTCTTATTTCTCAAATTTGCAACCTCCTAATTTTGAGGCTGCGGACGTCTATGGGTATGTTAGAACAAAACAACACCACAATAAAGTCAAGTTTAATATTGCTATACTTAATATAATAATGTACCATTTATATGAAGAAAGGAGAAAAAGGAATGTTGTTTAGTTTATGAATATTTATTCATATATGGGAAATTAATTACACGGTAATTCATTTAAATCAATCAATAAATACGATAACACTAATCAACAACTATCTCTAGATATTTTTTAATGATGATATAATGAAGCACTGTGAACAGCAGGGGCAGCTAAAAGTACTTTTCCGTGTCCGTGGGCTGGAGCTGGATGGACGGGGTGTCCGGATTTTTCAACAACTGCGTTGAAACCGTTGTGGTCATCAGCAGTGTAGTGAACGGTACGAAGGGTACCATCAGCTTCAGCTACGCTGTAAGAACCTTTTACTACATCTCCATCACGCACTTCTTGTTGAGATTTGTGGTCACCGGTGTGCTCGTCTTTGACTCCATAGTTGAATTCGTATTTGGGGTGGGTCTAAAGCAGTAAATATTGAAATATTTAACTAATATTTTAGGAATATCTATCTTATTGCTGAGTAATTTATCTTTACTATTTCCTTGTAGTTATATAAAAATATTGCAGAGTTCCAAAATAAAAGACTAACTTATTTACTCAGCACCGTATACTATATACTAAAACTCACTAATTGCATATATGTATAAAAGAATAAAGTGTTAATAAATAAAAATATAAAAATATTATTATTTGCTTACATTTAATTGTTCGTCGGGATGAGAAGAATGTCCATGAGCCAGAAGAGGAGCAGAATATCCATGTGCAACTGGTGCAGCATATGCATGACTTACTACAGGAGCAGCATATCCGTGTCCATGTTCAGATACACCTAGACTTGTAGAAGCGTATGATGTGGCTTGTCCATGTCCATGACCGTAGTCCAAAACACCTGCTTGAGCTACAGCTATAAGAGCTAGTACTGACAAGATCTAAAAATTAAAAATAATTACTAGTAAATAACTATATCAAGCAAAATCAGTTCATGTAAATTCCACTAATAGTAAAAAATGATCATTTTCCAATTTAAATAAATGATTCTCTTTACACATTTATTATGGATATTAAAAAAGTCGGGATATTTATTATAGTACTGGGTGCTGTTATTAAGACACATCAAATTGAATTAATTGCTCAAAATAAATTCAGCCAATATGCACGCGTTGTTAGCGTAGTTGTTAGCTTTAAATGATAGCTTGGATGTAGCTAGACCTTATCAAAGAAGTCAGAGAAACAGAACTTGAACCATCCATAAAACAAGAAGAAATAATAAATCTTATATCATCATTCAAGAGAAATAAGTGAAGTTATCAGAAAAATTTTACCAAAGAAAGCACCCGGTCCAGACGAAATCACTAACAAAGCCTTAAAGTATCTGCCTTTGAAAGCATCTGACAAACATAACATACGCGATACTAAGATACAAGCTCTTCGCAAACCGGAAAAAAGCCCACATAATCATAATATCAAAGCCATGAAAGAACTACATATTTCCGCAATATTACATACCGATTAGCTTTACTTTCAGCAGTCAGTAAGAAAATAGAACGACTTATTCAAACCAGGCTCCAATTAGAGACAGACAGGCTACGGTTAATCTCAGAAGCACAACTTGGATTCAGAGTTTAACATTCCAGCGAACAACAAGTACTCAGACTTACAGAATACAAAACCGCTGGATTCAATGACAAGCAATTATACACGAGCAGCCTTACTGGATGTAAGCAAAACGTTCGAAAGAGTTGGGAATAAAGGGTTGACATACAAAATGAGAGATACAGGTACAGTTCAGATAGAAACAGTTCTATCAGAACAAGGAATCCTGGAAGCTGGAGTACCACGGGGACAGTCTTATCATCCTTTTTGTATAGCATACACACAGGAGACGTTCCAAGAATACCTGGAATACTAATCAGCCTTTATGCAGACCACACTGTAATAGCTGCAAAACATAGGAATCTAGTCCTAGTCTAGTCTAGTCAATCATAGAAATAATTGATATCCAATGAAAAATAGCAATAAATCTAGAAAATACCCAAGCGGTTATCTTCAAAAAGAGAGCAGATAACTTAGAAGAACAGCTAACGCTGCAAAAAAGACCCATCGCGTGACAAAATAAAGCTAAATTCCTAAAATAATACTGACAAACACCATTATACTATCAATAATTACATATGCATCTCTTGCATGGGGAGACAGAAGTCACAGCAACAAAAAGAAAATTGAAGCAGCACACAGCAACTACTTAGAAAAGCTGAAAACATGCCCAGATACGTCGCTGAACGGGTTATATTCAGAGATGTAAAATAAATAAGTGTATAATAGAGAAAAAGCAAGAGCAAAATTTGCTGAGTTAGAACATCACTCAAACCGGATACTACGAGAGATATCATTTGCATAGCAGCTGCATAAATGAATTTATAAGCTAAACCTGAGCTTAAGTAGACAAAAGATGCAGAAAAAATATTGCCATTTCCATTAGTTAAAAGTAAGCTGACATGACAGAAGTCAAGAGTTTCCAACTGACAAATAGATTTGGTCGCTTGGGTTAGATTAGAGTCATTATAGACATTTTATATTTTATATTTTAGTATATATTTGTATAAAATACGGGAAATATTGGCGACGTGCAAGTACTTGGATGTGATACGAGAAACGATCGTGCGCGAGTAGCGGAGAAATCTTGCATTTTTTACTGCACATTTCATAGATTTCATAAATTCATATTGTCATATTGTTAAATTTCATACTCGTTTGTTTATGTACACCTTCTGTCACTGAAAAAAATTAGATTTAGGAAATGCTGTGTTATAAATTGTAAAAATACAACAAAAAATTGTCAATTTAAGGTTTATTCGTTTCCAACTTCGAAGTACAAATTACTACAAAGAGAAAAGTGGATTTATATTATAAAAAAGCATAAGTAACATAACCTAAATTATGCATTATTCTTGCGCCCGATTTTAAAGTCAGTTTGAAATAAATAATAAATAAAAGTTCACTTTTAAGTGTAAATTTTAGTTTCATAACACTTAAAATTCATTTGAATCCAAAAATCAAGTTTAATGTATAAATTTTATTTTTTTGAAGTTTACAAAAATGCATCAAGTTAAGTTTTTTCTGAAGATGCATTAAGATATTTTTTATTCGCTGTTCAAAAGTTTACAGGGAAAGAATTAATTGTTCAAACCAATATCATGGGCTTAACATGCTAATTTATGCATTAGCATTATTTATGGTAATTTATTTTTCTTAATTCTTCACATAATTCTTCCATTCTTTTTTGACATTTGCCACTACTAAAGCTTTTCCCTTTGACTCAGTGCTTGGTTGAAAAGTTATTTGGTGATTTACTTTCTCAAATCCGGTTTTTATTATTGCATCCATATTTACAGTAATGCTGTAATTTAATAATATATTTATTTGTATTTACACTACATACAACTTTTACCTTTTAATAACATACCGACATAACCTCTATCTTAGTTTTTCTTCTTATTCTTTTTTGGGGCTACGTCTTTGACAGTTATCCGTCGATCTAACAAAAAAACGCAGTAAATTTTGCTGATTTACGACACCAGGTGTCGCTGTTCCGAACTTGCACGGTCCCAATACAAAGAGTTGAGGGTGAACTCAGTTTAACAAAAAATTTTTAAACTTCAACTTCAATCCCTTAAAACAGTTGTATTAACTGGGACTGATAGATAGACTGACAGATAAAAACTGTTAAATAAATAATAACTAATTGTTCAGAGAAAATTTTTAACGAGGCTCTTTACGGAATAGACGAAGGCATCCTTCTAAATGGTGAAAGAGTAAACAATGTTAGATATGCCGACGACACCATGGTGATAGCAGATAGTTTAGAGGGACTTGAGAGGCTAATGGACAGAATAAACGAGTACAGTCAACAGTACGGACTAAACATTAATACCCACAAAACGAAACAAATGATTATCAGCAAGGAGAATATAAATGGGGCTCATCTATACATTAACGGGACGCAGATAGAGCGAGTAAAACAGTATTGTTACCTGGGAACTATTATTAACGAACAGTGGAGCAACTTACAGGAAATAAAGTGCCGCATAGGAAAGGCAGAACGGTCTTTAACAAAATGAGCACCATCTTCAAAAGTCACAACATATCCCTTGATACAAAAATGAGACATTTGAGATGCTATGTTTTCTCTGTGTTGTTGTACGGGCGGAGGCATGGACGCTCACAGACACCACTTTTAAAAAACTTGAAGCATTTGAGATGTGGCTTTATAAAAGAATGCTGAGAATATCATGGACAGCAAAGATCACGAACAAGGAAGTTCTAGGAAAAATGAAGAAGGAACCAGATATTGTGTTTACGATCAAACGCATAAAATTGCAATATCTGGGACACATTATGAGAAATCAGCACCGTTACTCCCTGCTACAGTCTATATTGCAAGGTAAAGTCAAAGGTAAGCGAGGACCCGGTAGAAGGAGAATATCATGGCTGCGGAATTTAAGAAGTGGTTTATGGTTTAAGAAAACCTCAACGGAGCTGTTTCGAGCCGCAGCGAGCAAGGTTATGATTGCCAATATGATTTCCAACATCCGAAACGGATAGGAACCAGAAGAAGAAGAAGAATTGTTCTGAAAACCAGATACAAATATTGCTTTATAATATGAGTATTAAAGCTTGCAAATATGAACATGAATTAAACATAGTAAAAAAAGTAAGCATCGCATCTTTACTTTCCAGTATATAATCTGGAGCTTAATCGAGAGTACAGAGCTTGCAGGAGCTTGAATACTCATGGAAGCTTCATCTAAACGCATAAATGCATTTGAAATGTGGTGCTATCGACGCATACTTAGAATCTCACGGATATATCATATACCTACTGAAACCATTTTACAACGCATTAGTGCCGAAATAGAATACCTCTGAACTACTAAAATTGGCAAGTATTGGAATACTTTGGGTACATCACAAAAAATGAGAATTACCACATGCTGCAGCTTATTCTGCAGGGGCAAATAGAAGGCCGAAGGTCGGCAGGAAGCAGAAGAACATCGTGGCTATGAGAAATGTTTATTAATTATAGTGTTTTTTATAGAAAAACCTGTAACTTTAGAATTATCAAGAGGCAACTTGGTTAATAAGCAGATGTTCGATGGTTCTATTACATCATTATACAGGTTATTAAAGAAATTAGGTTTCCGATGGCAAAAAAATTCACAAAAGCATTGACTTGCCTAATATTTTAAATAAATATTCCAAATAAATTTTTCATTTAATATGTTTAAATGTGAACTCCAGGAAATAGTTAGAGGGAGAGTCTTACATGCATGTTACTAAATATAAAATTAAATAATCATGTCAAATTTTGTAGATATAAATGAGAATCATTATTTTATAGAAATGAGTCAATTCTTGTGTGATATACCATTTAGCTGAGTAGTATGGACACACAGCGATATGTCTTTCTCCCTACTATTGCATTTTTAACTGTACTAAACTTATTTAGGACATTTCCAAACAATATTACAATAGGTATATTGGTAGAGATGACAATAAAGAACAAGATTGTTTTAATATGTGGTCTGAAGCACTCCAAACATTTACTTCTCGAGCATGGAAGACTGCTGTAAAACATTTTATGTGTTTTAAATATGAAACATGTAGTTTTTGTATTAAATTTTTGTATTTTGCCATAACTGAAGTCAACTTTTATAAATCTATTTAATAAATAAACGTTGAGCCATTTTGCCATTTCTTACAATTCTCATGAGATCAATAAAATTTATTATTAATTTCATTGACCGGTCATAGTATAGAGACCAGTCTTCAAAACCTAGAATATGAAATTTCAATTTTGAGTTGTGGCAACAAATATGAGGCATTTGAAATATGCCTACAATGTAGCATGTATTTAAACACCGAAGAATATTTTCAATGTATTGTTTTTCTTATCGTACATGCTAAAATACCGAAAAAGTAATTTTAATCCTTTTGCATCACTGGAGTTGATAATTAACACATTTTACAGGTTGTTTGGACTGAAAACTTTAAAGAAAATCCTTTAAAGATTTAAAAGGAGTGACTGACATCATCGAGAAGATAGCCAGACTAAAATGGAGATGGGCAGGACACATAGCCAGAATGACGGATGGGCGATGGACAAAGAGGTTATTGGAATGGAGGCCAAGGGAAGACAAGAGAAGCGTCGGTCGGCCACCTACAAGATGGACTGACGATTTAAGAAAACTCAATAAAAACTGGATAAGAGCGGCGCAAGATAGACGGGGTTGGAAACATGAGGAGGAGGCCTATGTTCAGCAGTGTACTCTTGAGGCTGGATGATAATGAAAGGTTGTTTATATAAAAAAGAAATATTTCCGTTTATATGCTTTGTTTATACCGAGTTAAGCGAATGTTTTTTAAAGTATATCAGTATCGGTGAAGCCTTTGTCAAAGGCAGTTAGTTTTGTTGTAGTCCAAATTTTTATCACATTCGTAATGTTTTTTTTCTTTTGTCATGGGAAAATGTGTAGTATGTAGTATGTAGCATGTGTAGTTACAGTTAGATTTGAAATTTTGACGGGAAAGAAGCTCGGTATTTAACCTTCAGAACGCCGGCAGATGTTGGTGAAAAGTTATAGGGGTTGTGTTATGTCCTAAATGAAAGATTTGTAAGGTGTTATAACGATATTGGAGGTCCACATGTTTTCAAGAAGTTTTGAAAAGCCAAGCTTTGAAAATTGCAGTTAATTGACCCGATGCCCAATGGTCAAAAGTAAAACAAAGGATGTCCAATTACCGAGGGCATCCAAAGTAACGCTCAGTACAAAAGCCTCCTCATTTTTTATGTCCTACAATGAGGAGGGGTAGTTGGTTACATCTTTGGGGTCAGACAAATAACACTTCATTAAGGAGTGTGAACGGTTTGATCTTCGGACAAGTGAGTCCCACTGATCCAGTGGAACAAACATGTCACTTTGAGTTAGGGTTTGTAAAAATTGTGTGTGTGTTTTATTTTCATTTTAATTTAAAGTGTTATCCTTTTTACACATAAGTTAATTTTTTTGTAATTTCAACATGTCCATTTAATATAAATATTGTAGGTGTATATTTTTTAAATCTTTTGTATCTCATCCTTATTAACTTTAAGTAGAGTCATTTAAACATGTAGGTATTTGTTTGTAAGTTGATTCTTGTGAATAAATATATTTAAATTTTATTCCTTAATAAGAACGTTTGATAAAGTCCGTCACAAAGAGCTTATGGAGGTCTTGAAAGCAAAACAAATAATTTACAATGACCTTACGAGCAATAGTAGGTATTAAAGAAAACACATCAGAAGAAATTGAAATTAAAAGGACTCTTGAGTGCGAAACTAGTGCAATAAACGTCAATCGACAACAATAAGTACGTTGTTCTTTTGGCAGAAAATCTCGAAGATTTGTAGAGAATGATGAATAAGACACTATATCATGCAGAAGAATATGGCCTTTTAATGAATATAAAGAAAACTGAGCAAAGTATTTGTACAAAAAATGTGAAGATGGATTTAAGCGGTAGGTTGCCAAGGTGATATATTTTCTCGAAAATACTATGTAGAATAAATGCGTGGACCCTGAAAGCGACGACAGTTAAGAAAATGAAAAACTTGGAATTGTGGTTGTACCGGAAAATCCTAAAATATTATGGATTCATCATGTAACAAAAAATAAAGTAATGAGAAGAAGGCATGAGAGTACGGAACTAAGAGAAACTCATAGATGCTCATCTATCAAAGTTTACAGGACATAATACCTAAGATGGCTGCCCACCTTCGCCATGGAAATAGCACGTAAAAAGAAGATTGACATTAGTCCTTTCTTTTCAACCAGTAAGAAACGCTACGTGTATTAATATAAGCGTATTGGATTTAAATTAACTTTAAAAAAAAAGCAATAAAAAAATTGAGATCGATATTATATGTCATTTAAAAATTAAATTTTATTACTATTGCAACTCTTTTTTAATCAACTTTCTATATAATATTCAAAATTAATTTTAATCGATAAGTTTAATGGGAGATTTTTAATAAAATGAGATTCAAATTTGAACACAAAAGAAGATAAAACCAATTAAATAATAAAAGCGGTCAAAATATTTACCATGACATAAAATTTATATTATTGTCTTAACAACAACCTTTAAATTTATTAAATTTTACTTTAAACAGAGTACAAAAAAAGTTAATTAAATACAATATTTTATTTTAAATCTACACTTACTTTTGAGAACATATTGCTGATGTAAAGAAACAGAATATACTGAATCAAATTAAAATGTTGCGCTTTTTATATGATACAATAAGCAACCGAAATAATATTGGGATCAAAAGAATCACGGTCAAGTTTTGTAACATTTCTAGGCGTTGTACACAACCCACCCATATCTTCGGGCATTTTGGTCTTCTTAATAAGACGGTGCAATATATTAATTAGTGTTTGACAATTCTTTATGCAAATTTATTTCTCACTAGTGTCTAGACATTTTATGGCATTTATAGATTGATTTTGTAAATTTAATAAAATTTTGAGTGGAAACTAACGTTATCAACATAATTAAACATGATCGGACACGGAAAATGTATATGATTATTACAGTTTTTAATACGGCACCCAGTAAACAGTGCAGATATTTTCAATTAACCCATTATAACCTGGCGTTACATATATGTAACGTTTGTAGACCCGTACAAAATTCTTATATGCTGCTTTAGTTAGGCTATTAGCAGGTAGATGGTGTGATAAGTCAGTTTTTAAAAGCTAATTCTGTAGTTAGAGGTGAAATTTGAATATATCGTTTAATCTATGTTATTTTATTTATTACTCGTATTTAGAATGCTGCATCAACCTTTAAAGGTTATTAGCCGGTTTTACAGATTTTACACTAACAAAATAGACTAATAACAAATTAAATTGCAAATAATAAATTATAAATTACAAAATAATGTATAATACAACTATTAAACATTATGTAATAAACGTATGTCCTTAAGAAACTTTACTTTAGGAAAATTTCAGTACCAATCCCACTTTTAACATTTTTAATTTTAGCCATAGTAGAATTCCACATTTGTTGCCAATTTTTAACACAATTCTGTTTAATATTGAGCTGGATATCACTGAATGGAATTGTTGACATTATTTCAGTATGCTTGTCAGTATCGGCTTTCTTTGCCAATATATCCACTTTTTCGTTTCCTGCGCTACTTTAATGCGACGATAATTTAACTTTTGCATGTCTGTTTTGTAGGTGATAAGTAATATATTTGCCTTAAGCCACGATAAACAGATTTAGTAATGAAGTAATGAGAAAGAGTCAATAATGAGAAAAAAGTTTAAGTTTACTTGACTCTTACATACGTCTAATGCCTTTAATATAATCAATATATAGCTAATGCCATATCCAGTATTTCCTAGTATAAAGGCCGCTGCATGTCGATTTTTAGTTCTTAATGCATCAGTAAAAATCTTGTTATAGTAAGTGTATTCTGATATCCGTTCTTGATATAGCTTGGTAATCATTATAGAATTTGTAGTACTCTTTGATTAGGCCGTGAGGGATATGTCAATGGTGGGATAATATTAGCAGTCCAGGGAGTTCGTTGTGCAGGATAAGAATGTGTCAGCTGCTTCAGGTCAAAACCATATCTCGTTAAACGTTCTTTAAAGGGTGGATATTTTAATTTTTGATGGCAATGTCTAGGTAGATGTATTTTGTAAAGAAGTGGGTAATTTATGTTATTAGGGTTGTATAATTTAAAGAAATGTGTTGTCTTCATATTGTTAGGGGGGGGTTCATCAAGAATAATTTTATTTGATTTATTCTTGGTGAATATGGCTGATTCGATGGAAACTGGTGTATGACTTGAGAAAGTATTACAAAACAACTGTTTTAATTCTGCAACATTATATATGTATTTGTTTAGCTAATAGTTGTATTTACACATGTTAGGTTAGGTATTTTCTAAAATTAATGTTTATACACATATTCGAAACCGCTGTTTTGATTGTGTTGCAGATATGTAACGCTAGGTTAATATAAAGGCAAAAAATATATCTACAGCGAATTTATTTTTATTTGTCGTTATATATTGTTAAATCAGATATGAAAAAGAAAACCATAGTTCTTTTTTAACAATTATTTTGATTTCATTTTGTTTTAATTTTAAAATAAATTTGACCCTACAGGATGAGTCAGACGGTGTAGGTCTTGCGAAAACGCAAGAACAAGAAAAGACTGCAAGACCATGATCGATTTTGGGCAACACTATATCGATGTATTTTTGTATTGTTTTGTATTAATTGTTTATATTTTCGTCCTTAGAAATTTGCTTTCTGTAACTATGCTATAGACCTATACTACTGTCAAATTGTACAGGCCCGTCGCTAATAACCGTTAGGTGGATATGACTTTGTCTTAAAATAAAAAAAATATCATAAATATAATATAATATAAATATAACATAATCATAAAGTATAAATGAAGTGATTTGTTAGAAATAGCGGCTGGTAGCCTTTAAGGCAAATGCAATAGCATTGCCTAATGGTGCCTAATGGTATTAATTATAACATAAACATGTGTTCAGGATTACGTACGTCAATACTCGTGATTTTCTTTTTCATTCCACGTGAAAGTTTGTTAGTTTTCACGATAAGGCACTTGCAAAAAAGACATACCGGCAGGCCGTGAAAAGGAAAAACTTTCCTTGAAAATATTTCGAAAAATTTTAATTAAATTAGATTAGAAAATTAAATTTCCTTTCTTTTACTTATATTATATGATATTTTTAGTAGGTACATATTATGAGATAAGGGATAAAATCGTTATTGAACTCCGTATTGAAATCCAACGATTTATTTTATGTTCGTTTAATTTAAGCATTATTCATTTTTTGTGTATGTGTTTGTTTTAAATCCAAAATTAAAAATAATTATCATCATTATACAGCCTTCTGCGTCTAAAGCTGGACATAGGCCTCCCCTAATTTCTTCCAGTTCCGTCGGCCTTAAGCTTTTTGCAGCCAATTCCCGGTGATTCTTCACCGCCCGTCATTTATTCTGGCCACGTGGCCCGCCCAGTTCCACTTTAGCCATGCTATACGCTCTAAGTCATCTGCGACGCGTGCCTTCTTCTTATTTCTTCGTTTTTATCTTTGTCTATGAGAGTCAGTCCAAGTAGCGAGCATTTTATTCGTCCTTGAGCTACTCTAAGTCTGGCTGCTGTAGCCTGGGTTAAAGAAAGTGTTTCAGCGCTGTAAGTCATGATTGGAAGCACACTCTGGTTAAACATCTTCTTTTTCAAATAATTTGGCACGTTGCTCTTGAAGATGTCTGATAGAGCTCCATATGCGGCTTATGCTTAAGTAATTCTTTTTTGCAGTTCAGTACTTTAGTTGTCTCTAACAATTTAGATTTCCTGACCAAAGCATTTATATTTATACAATGATGCTATTTTGTTGCCGTCGACTTTTGGATTTTCGCTTGGTACCAGATTTATCACGTATTGTGTCTTTTGAAAATTTATGTTCAAACCAACTTCTTTACAGGCAGCATCTAACTTAGTAAGCATAGTTCCAATATCTTTTAAGTCATCTGTTATCAGAACAATATCATCCTCAAATCGTAGGTGTAAGAGCGTTTCGCCATCGACATTGATTCCTTTGGCTTCCCACTCCAATATTTTGAAAGCATGTTCCAGAATTTCCGTAAGGGTGTAAATTATTAGGTTTCTATATAGTATCCATTATCATCACACATTATTCGAAAGTAACTTCAATATTATGGTCAAACAACATTTTATTCCAGAATCTCATATATAATCAAATGCATTTGATATACTTCTTGGATTATTTAAATCTTCTACATAAAATTTTTTAAAATCTGGTTTCCCATGGATCTAGGTTTCTTGTTCACAGAATTTTCTTTGACATATTACCAGAAATAATATTTTTCCTAAAACTATATTAAATATCAGTATTGCACTGGTATGGTACCTCAACTTATTTAACCCAAAATGATTATTAGATCCCATCTGGTTTCGTAATATATCTGTGATATGTGATGATATATCTGTTTATGTTACACGAAAATTGAAATAAGAATAAATTTGCTTTACACCGGTTTAAATGGAGAACCGTTTACCTGTTAGTATAACCAATTTCCGGTCCCAACTGTCAGATATTAGAATTACCAACTAATTATTGAATGCTTAATAATTTAGTCAATTTCTTGAATTCATTAATTAATTTATCATCAATAATTTTTCTACTTATTACTTTAGTTCCATATTAACATATCAGAACTGGAATAAAATATTTAAAAATATTTATACACACCATGACAGATAACTCACACCAATAAAAATTTTTAAAGAAATTTTGTAACTTTGTTATACATTTTGATTACAAATGTACATGTTTAATTACCAAATAATCACTTAAGTTTGCTCTGTAATTTTGACTTAATTGAGGTAATTATAATAGCAGATGTATTTCAATTATTTATATTGTTACATTTAAATTTAATTATTTAATGATTGTTAAAGTATGTCAATATTAAACACATCATCTTACTTTTGATATCTAAAAAATTTTAGAGACATTCATTATAATCAGCTTATTTTATAAAACTGGATAACTTAACTTACAGTATTTAGAAATAAACGAATAACTGTCACACTTTAACCTACATTTGTCAAATTTACCTCTAAAATCTAATAGATAACATAAAAACTCATTGACTCCAAGTCAGAGATGTAATGCATTCAAGTCCTTCCCATCTTAAATTTAATGTTTGTTTCGTCCCCCCTTTTAAGTGTTTTCTGTGTATCTTAAATTGTCCTTAATTGTTTTAACTTTAATAATTTTATATACTTGATTTTGCAGTTATTTGCCATATATGTCAATAGAACTTTATCAAAGAAATTTGATAATTACAATTTGAAAGAATTGCACACCCACAAATTTTGTACATCTAATCTCATTCATTATCATACAACTGTCCCCTTCATAAAATAAAATCTCAATAAATAACACACATTTCATAAATATATCTCTTGAATAAATATAAATAACTTTTAAATAATTCAATGGTATAGAACATCACTTTCATCTAACAAACAATCACATTACACCTATCTCAACTTCATTAGATAAAATCTTTCTTCTCAAAAACTTCCCCGTTTATTTTCAAACAATTGCAATAGCAGACTTAAGTTCTCCATTCAACAATACAGGATAGTTTGAACCATGTTCTTCCAACCACCAATTAATAGAGTACCTGCATGTAAGTAATGTTTTTTTTTATTTGTTCATTTATTAATTTATTACAATTTAATTAGACTATTTTATACCAATTTGTGGTTCTTACCTTGTCTGCTTAAACATTTTATTCATTTTGAAAAACCACAGACATGTAATATTGGCATAATTAGTGTAATGTATATCATCTATCTTTATTTATCTTTATTAGACAACACCCTAATATGGAGTTTTATTATTTCAGCATTTATTTAACTTTGTATCGAGACCTGAAGATGCTTTGCATATTGTAGAAAGCGAAACCGGTCGTCTGGATAGTTAAATTAAATTGATTGTGAGTAAGTCTTATTTATTACTTCTTTTACGTATTTGAAATGGACTCACACAAGCAACACATTCATGATTTAATTCATTTCTGTTCGTGATGATATTATTGTCTTTATCCTTTAATTTTCTCTTCTCTAAAATAAAAAAAAGATTCTTCTTATTTTTAGTCGTTTGTTGACTTTTTTTACTTTTATGCTTTTGGTTGTCAATCCTAATAGATTTTTGTATTTTTTATTTATTTATTTATGTAAATACATTACATTGCAGTTTTGTTCTCTCTACCAATAATGCTTTTGTTTGGGACTAATTCTTTCATTATATGATTATTTTTGGCAGTGTATCTTCTGGCTTTCCTCTATAGCTATTAATATTGGTGTTAGTCAGGGTGTTTCTGTGTATGATATTTGTGTCTGTATTCTTATTGCTTAATGCTGTGGATGTGTTCTTTAAATGCATTTATAAATATGTATTTAGAATTGTACAACTGCATTTTTAAAGTAACTGCAATTTTCTGTAAAAATTAAGTTTTTTTAATTTGATTTTGTTGGTGGGAAATGTTGTTTTTTTTTAATATTGTATGATTTCCCATACCATGTTCTAAAATATTTTAAAAGACCACATACTTAGTTGCAATAAAAATTTATTTTTAAAAATAACAGTTAACAATAAATAAATAACTCCTATTAATACAAACTAACACCTCAGTCATCAAAAATCAATGATAATATGCGGGAGCAGGTGACAAGATAGCTTTTCCATGAGCTGGAGCTGGATGTACGGGGTGACCAGATTTTTCAACGACAGCGTTGAAACCATTGTGGTCGTCAGCGGAATAATGGACAGTACGGATGGTACCGTCAGGTTCGGCTACTGTGTAGGAGCCTTTGACTACGTCACCATCTCTAACTTCTTGCTGAGATTTATGGTCTCCGGTGTGTTCGTCTTTGACTCCATAGTTGAATTCGTATTTTGGATGGGCCTTAAAATATAAACACAATTATATACGCAAAAAATGTATAAAAACAATAAAGCGTTGTATTTAAAAAAAATGATTACTAATACTTTATCGTATCATCATTTAATTTCTTCCATTTTTAGTACTCCTTATTCTTTGTGTTTTAGTTTTTAGTTTATCTAGCTGGGAACGTAAATACTAACATAACACTGTTTTCTGGTTTAAATTTCGTGACATATAAACACCATGTATTTGGGCTCGACTCAAATACTCGAGTGGACTGCTGGATTCTAAACTATTTCAAATTATTTTATGAGTAAGAATGAACTTGGAAGGCGCATATTTTTACGCATTTCCTGAGTATTTGCTTGTGAGAAGAAATTTTAGAAATAATGTTTCTTAATAAAATAGGTGTGTTGTTTTTTTGCCGTGACGGCTTTAAAAATTAAAATTATTTAGTAAAAAAAACATAATATTGTAAAAGAAACTTCTTTGTAAAAGAAGATAAAATTCTAAAAACAATTTAAAATGCCTATTAAGGCAAAAAAATTTAATAAATTAAAAGTTTAAATAATCCACTTTGTTGTGACAAACTATAGCAGAATCTATTAAATAAAATTAATCTTTTATGTCTGAGTTGATTCGCCGTAGTGTTGGCACAATGCTGAATCATTTTCACCCTTAAATTTTTGGCACGTTCAAAATTATGTTGATAAATATTTAATTTAAGATAGTAAGTAAGAAGTGGAACAAAAACAACTTTAAATATTCTGCTATGCAGACGACGCAATACTACTTTTTCAAAGTGAAAATGATTTACAATGTATGCTGCACGAATTTACTATAACCGCCAGAAAATTTAACATGTTAATTTTCCCAAAAAAGACAAAAGCAAATTTACTAAGATGTAAATTGGAGCTGGAATGTCAGACAATTGAACAAGTGATAAAGTTTATATAATATCTAGTAATCACATTATCTAACTACGGAAAGCTCGAAACTGAAGTAGAAGATCAAATAAATCGAGCAAACAGAGGCATAGGCTGCCTTAATAAAATAATATAGAGAAATAAAAATATCAGGAAAGAAATTAAAGGCACAATTTACAAACAGTCATCAGACCAATAATGACATACGCAGCAGAAACGCGACCTGGCAAAGAGAGGTCAAAAAGGATGTTAGAAACAGCAGAGATAAAAACACTTGATGATGACAAAAATTGATGGTAAGAAACTATGGGACAAACACTAGAAGTACAGATATAGGACGTAGATACAAGGTGGAGAACATCAAGAAATAGGGAAAAAATAGAGGAGTATAATAGAACGATCATATAAGCCGAATGACAACAAATAGAGTAGTAAAGACGGCAAGAGACGGTTACCCAATAGGAAAAGGATTAGCAGGAAGAGTCGTGTCTATATAAAGACATGAAGAAAGTCCCAATAAAAATCATTAAATCTGCGGATATTGAAAGCCACTGGAAAATACCATTTGTTGCAATTATGCGATTGGAAATGTTCTTTGAAGAAATTCGTTTACTGCTATGCTGTTATGAATAAGACATCCGTCATGCTGTTGCTAAATATATCCAAAATTCACAGGAAGTTGCTAAATTGTCAGCACGATTTGATTTTGTAGCAGTTCGGGTTATTTAGTGCGATTTAAGTTGCCCTTAATAAAAAAGAAGCTTTTTTCCCGAGATCATTATTAAACAAACGATGGATTATATTTTCTTAGAAGAGAAAATGTAGATTAGTCAGAAAATAAAATGTTGTTTTAAAAATTCTAGTCATAATTTTGCTTTTCCGTCATCTCCTAATAAAATTCAATTCGTTTAATTTTATTCTCGGGAAAAAATTCTTAAATTGTTTGAACTTTATAACATCGATATCCATCATTTTTAAATACCTCGAAAAAAACTTTACTGTAAGTTTACTTCTTTAGCAATTTCCCTGCTTAAACACGATTGACAGGCTTTAAGAGCAACACAAACAATTTTTTTAAATCCAAACCTTGTTTACTCTTTTGATAAACACGTGATACACCAAGATTATTAAATTTGTGACACTTTTAAATACACCTAATATGCGATACTTTTGAAATATTTGGTCAACTGTAGATCTTTAAGAACATCTAATCTGTTATTTACAAAAAACAATGTAATAAATACTGATAATGTAAGAATTAATAATGCGGTTTCGAATAACTTCAAATTAGAATCTCGAGTTCAAGAGGGATGCATAATATCCCCTATTTTATTCAATATATATATATATATATATATATTATATATAATATATATATATATATATATATATATATATTATATATATATAGTGATATTATGCGTCAGGTTTGTGAGGAATGGCAAGGTGGAGCAACGATAGGAGGAAGAAAATCAAAAACCTACTTTATGCTGACAATACTGTTATACTGACGTCATTACCAGAAGAACTGGAACAAATTATGAAATGGCTAGGCACGATGAGTACGGAATATGGTTTAAAAATAAATATGTAGAAAACCAAAGTGATGATCATCGATGAAATCAGAAAGAATTAAGCAGAGATAAGAAACAAGGAAGGTTACGAAGTGGTGAGGCAATTTAGCTACTAAGGCTCCCTTATTACCAACAGCGAAGATGGGATCAGTCGACGCATCACAATAACCAGATTGGCAACAGCCAAAGTTACACAAAGTTGGAACAATAAAAAAAATATGCCTTGTTCGAGTATTGATATTTCCTATCGCCACCTACGCTTCAGAATCTTGGAGAGTAAAAAAGTCGATTCAAAACGTATAATGACATTTGAAATGTGGGTCTACCGTATAATATTGCACATACCACTGGCTGCCCATCGCACAAATGCCCCAATTCTAGCAGAACTTAACATAAAAAACTACACTCATCACAACTATTAACCAAAATATACTGAGATATTTTGGACATATAACTAGAAGAAGATAAGGCATGGAGCGAATGATAGTGAAGGTAACGTAGCTGATAAAAGATCCAGAGGAAGATCTCCAAAACGATGGTCGGACCAAATAAAGGACATGACTGGTTACTCATTCTCCGCAAAACAACAGGTACAGAAGAGAGATAATTGCACAGAAATAGTCAAACAAATTATATAACGCCACTACATCCTTACGAAGCAGAAAATATAGAGGAGGAGAACTTCAAGAAACGCTCTATTCTCAGGCAACAACAAATAAATCCTGATGTATTTACAAAAATATTTTAGTTTCATAAGTTTACAGACTTAGTTAGTGGAATGAGAGTGACAGCGACGCGACGTTCGATGTGAAGCACCGAAGCTTAGCTTGACAAATGAATATTTCGGTTACTTTCGGCTAGCCTCGAAAAGGAGAGAGGATGTAAAGCGATATTTTCTGCATGTCAAACTTAACGTTGTTAAGTTAAGTATTTATAGAGGGAAAGACAGTTAAGATTTGATTTCACGTAGATGCCTCTGTATATTTGCTTATACTATTTTATCCTAAAAGGAACGTGAAAACAGTATTTCCGGTCGTAGTAGAAGCACCCTTAAATGGCTTCGATATGGACGTAATAGCGACATCTATAATTTATAATTTTTAATTTATATAATATTATTTGAGTGTACTCTAGTAGCGACCTTTATATGCAATAAAGTATCCTAACTTCGTGTTCATTATTATTCATATAATAATGAACATTATATTAATATAATAGCAACTCGTAACTATATTTTTTGTCTTTGTGCAAAACATAACATTCAGTAAACCGATTGCAGGGTGACTTAAGCAGATATTTTTTTTTTAATTGAAAAATGTGGTTTAATGACTCTTTATTTGTGACATGTCTTTGAAAAACATGGTATAAACATTCCAGGCCTTATTGCATTACTCTTTTCTTTTCCTTTGTTATTTTTTAGGCTAATGACACAAAAACAAAGCAAAAAAAAAAGAACAAAAAAAAATAGAAAATAAATATATATATATATATATATAAATATATATATATATATATATATATATATATATATATCTATATATATATATATATATATATATATATATATTTATATATATATATATAAATATATATATATAATATATATATATATATATAATATATATATAAATATATATATATATATATTATAATATATATATATATATCATATATATATAAATATATATATATATATATATATTTATTTTCATTTTTTTATATATATATATATATATATATATATATATATAAATATATATATATATATATATATATATATATATATAGTATATATATATTTATATATATATATATATATAATATAATATAATATATATATATATATATATATAATATATATATAATATATATATATTAAATAAAAAAACATACACTGGTCACACTTAACTTTACACTACTAATACTTTAAGCATTGTTATTGTGAAGAAGGTTGAGTTTTCTTTTAAAGTTTTTTCTAATTATTATAGTTAAAAAAAATCGTCTCCCTAAAAATAAAAAAAGGCTAATGACAAATATATATTATCCCATGCCATGTGTAAACGATTTAAATTTTTCAATATGGCAATTTGTTTTATAATGACTATTTTATATAAAACCATCAAACCATTTCACTAATCCAATTTTTTAGTTGCCTTTTTTACCTCCAAAGAATGAAATATTTTTATTTTTGTGATGTATCTTAATTAGTTGCTACATTATCTTATTCAATGTAATTAGCTTGCACCGAATTAGTTTTATCTGTAAATGTATGTTTATAAATAAATATTTAGCCATTTTTTTTTCTAATTTAATACCTATCTAATTTAAAATATCAACTTACATCATAATCTTCGTTATGATGTCCAGACTGTCCGTATGAGAGTACCGGAGCAGAATATCCATGAGCCAAAGAAGGAGCTTGATAACCATGTCCTATTCCTACACCACCTAAATTTGAAGAAGCGTATGAACTGGCCTGTCCATGACTGTAGTCCAGAACACCAGCTTGTGCTGCAGCTGCGATCGCAAGGACGGCTAAAATCTATAAAGTAATGAAAAATATGTTTAATTAAAATAAGCTTATAAATTAAAATATAATGCAATCATACATTAAAATAAATATATCTGAATCAATGCAGGTCACCTTAAGTAATAAAAATACTCATGTTTAGCAGATTAATAATATCCAACAACCAACCTGAAAACACAAAATCTGAAATTTCGACATACATACTGATTATTAGGGTAACAATAATAATTATAAGTATCGATGAAAAATACGTAACTATTATACATACCAATAATTAAGCCAATTTGGATCTAAGGTGAAATGTCAGTTAAAATTATTTAAAGATTTTCTGGAAGTAAAATAAATTTTAAGTGGAATGGCTTTTCGAGATTAGTAAAAACTATAGCTGTCCTAACGATAACGATATCTTTCGTTCAAATTCCAAGCAGTAGAATATGTATGCCTCATACGTAACGTGGTTTGTAGGACGTTATGACAATATTCTCATGTTACCTCATATTACGTCCTATGTCACGTATATGGATCGCAAAATATACACTCAAATATTTGGTAAACTTGCACGATCAGAAGGTTGCTTGTTTTTCTGGACACCATAAAAGATTACTACTGTGTTTCAGTATGTGCAAGAACGTACTTATTTAAATTTAGTCCTAATAATGGAAGTTATGTGCCTCATGGAAGCTCTACAAGTAAAGTGAAGCTCTTGTAGCTTCACTCTCGAAGCAATGTTGATTTGCAAGAAATATTACTATCAGAAAGCTTTACTTTATGTAGAATACCAGTATCAGTTGAAATGCTTTCTTCGGCTAATAAGCCGACATATTCATTGTGTTCAAATCCTGAATGTGCTGTAATCCAGTAAAAATATACATTGATTCCTTTGTTAAAAGGCAGTCTTGTAAGTTTGGTGGTGGGTATATGTATATTTACCAACAGATTTTAACGCTGCTAAGGGAGTCAGACAAAATTATAATATGGGCAAAATCAGATTTCAGCTCCATATGTATAATAAAGCTTCGTATATTGCAATAGCTTCAGTTGTAAAAATCGAAGTCTTCGGGTCAGTTTGAATTTCTTTTCTGTATGTCCCGATGGTATAAAAAAGCGCATCCGGTTCCATCTGAAGATTTAGACGCATCTGTATATAGAGCTATTACCTCTTTTTAACAAAACTAAAACTACTAAATTACTAAAAACTACTACTTACTAAAAATTACTAAAAGTGCTATATTTTGATTATACGCTTCGCAAAGTAAGGAAGAGTTCTTTTTGCCAATATTTATTTGTCAGGTCATGGCAACTTGAAGTCACTATCTTTTCGTATAGAGATGAGTTTAGTGTGTAAACTTTCATTAAATATTTTTTGGACACAAAACTTCGTCTTATTTTTAAAGGAGTTTTCAAAGCTTCCAAAGTAGAGCTTGTACTGGAGTGGATCTTATGGCTCCTAAACATGTTCGTAAGGCTGAATTATATAAAACGTTGATTTCGTTTAGTAGTACATTACTTGCCAGTCCATAAAAAATACTTCCGTAATCCAAAATAGATCATATGTAATCTTTGTAAAATAATAAACTTACTTCAACATCCGATCCCCACCAACTTTGAAAACTCGGTTTTTGTGTAATAAAATATTTAAGGATGTTTAATAAAAGAAGCATTTGAAAGTAATTATTTTCATAATTATTTCATATTCATATTCCTATATTTATTTAAAAAAAATTATTGTATTTTTTTGTTGTTGTTTTTTATTTTGCTTAGGGCTTAATAACTTTCCTAACTTAGAGGGTTACTGGAAAAAGGATTCTTTTTATCACACACGAACTATTCCATCGAATTCCTGTAAAGTTTAATTGAATTATATTATTGCTAAATTGTTGGACTCATTTTGAAGACAATAGAGTGGGATCAAAGAGTCGTTTATTAAAAATTGTATCTTATTTGAATCTTATTAGAAACAACATAAAAAATGCTGATTATCTCCATTATTTAACCTTCAGTGTTCAAAGTAGAATACAGCCCTCCCCCTAATTTCCTTTTGTTACATCGGTCGTCTGGTTATCGTGTAGGCTACCTCTGCTTCCTCTGTTAGCTCGTGGTATACCCACTGAAATATTTTGGGTTCATCACTCATCATTCATTCTGGCCACAACGCCCACCCAGTTTCACTTCAGCCATGCTATACGCTCTATGATATCTGCGACGCCTGTCCTTCTTATTTCTTCATGCGTAACCCTGCCTCTGACAGTCTCTGACAAGTAGCAGGCGTTACATTCGTTTTTGGGAAAATCCGAGTTTGACTGCTGTGGCCTAGTGTTTTGGGGCTGTAAGTCATGACTGGAAGCACACGTTAGCTGAACACCTTCTTTTTAAAATAATTTGGAATGATCTCGGGCGTGTTATTCTCTTAGTGATACAATTATTGTGGACAAAATTCTGGTTCCTATGAGGGGACGTTTCAAAATTAGACCATAAAATTAATTTAAAGAGCATTTATATGATATTAGGATTTTTAAAGTGTGCTCTTCACTTGGATGCAATTGGGATTTAAAAATTTGCAATGGACAAAGTGAAAGACGGCAAAGGCTAGATATTCCTAGTAGCACTAGTTATAATAGACAATTGTTACACCATCTTGCAAAATACTTCTACGAAAGACAGACGTATTTATTGGGTATCATAAAAACATAGAATCGGCCTACCAATGGACGTAGTCAATTACAATTTGCAAAAATGGTGCAATAACAAAATAATTTTATAACTTTCTTAAGGTGACATAATTAATGGGATGTCTACTTAATTTCCACATGCAATGATGATTAGCTGAAAGTTTATGGGAAAAAATGAAGAAGATAAGGAAAAGTTAATAACTACTGTGATAGATAACAACAAGGAAAAGCAGGGAGTAGAAATTTTAGACCAGCTACCTAGTTATTACACTTTTCCTTGAAAGTCTTTAGATTAGTTTCATCATCACCATTCAGCCTTCTGGATCTAAAGTTGAATATAGGCCTACACTAATATTTTCCACTTCTGTTGATCTTGAGCTTTAAGCAGCCAATTCCCAGTGATTACTTAGACGTTCTCTGTTTCATCATGTGGGTGGTTAATCTCTGCTTCTTCTGCTTCTTCTGTCAGATGATGGTCTTCAAGTTTCCCTTTAGCCATGATATATGCTTTATTACAACTGTGACGTCTGTCCTTTTTATTTATTCATTTTTAACTCTGTCTATGAGAGCAAGCGTTCCATTTATTTTCACTCTCTAAGTTTCGTTGCTATAGCCTGGGTTAAGTAAAGTGTTTCCATGCCGTAAGTCATGACTTAAAGTACACATTGTTGGAACATCTTCTTTTTTAAATAATTTGGCATGTTGTTTTTAAAGATGTCTGACAGAGCTCCATATGCAGCTCATACTAAAGTAATTATTCCTAGTAGTTCATTGATTACGTTGGGTCATGGCCAACTCAAATTTTTTAAAAAGCATGTTCCAGAACTGTCGTGAAGTGTTTGGGAGACAACGTGTCTATTTGCCTGATTCCTCTTTTGACTTTTATACAGTTTGTATTTTTGTGTACTCTTACGGTCATGGTTACATTATTGTATAGTATTTCCGATCAGTTTGGAGTACTATATTTGGTAGATTTTTCTAGAATTTCTTTTATGCGGTGGAGGTGCTCTTTGGTGCCAATGTTTTCCCTAAAACCTGCCTGTTCCCTAGGTTTGTAAAAAACTAATTTTGTTTTTAGTCTATTTGTTATAATTCTTGTGAATAACTTGTAGAAAAAGGTTAACAGACTTTTGGGTCGGTAATTCTCGAGGTCTGTTGGATTGGTCTTTTTGTGTAATATAATGGTAAGTACACTGTAATATCTTAAAAAATTTCTTTATATGCTCTAAAAGTCTTCTCCAATCTTTACGATTTATATACCGATGTTATCTTCTTCCTGGACTTTATTTCTTTTTATTTTCTTCAGTACATTGCTTATTTCATTTGTTCATATAGTAGGCATCAATTCCGAGCCTTGGTTGACTAATAATCTTTTTTTATTTAGTTTTCTAATTATTCTCTTAGGTACTCATCATGGTTTTGTTAACTTCTGTATAATTGTGTACCGAATTCTTCTACTATCCTTAGTAATTCATCTCTGTTGGTGAATTAGCTTGGTTTTAAAAATTAAAATTGACTATTGAAATAATTTGTGGGACAGGTGTTCCAATTCTGTTCGTCTGGTAAAAAGTCAATTATCAATGTAGAAAATTAGCAAATACCTACTCCTAGTTTTCTCAAAACTAACAAAAAGGTAAAAAGGCAAAAATACCAACGAGGAAAACAACTTGATAACAAGATATGCAAAGAAGGCTGTCATGGGTAATATACTTAAGTTGAAAGACCCTCAGTATTTATTTCTTAATACTAAACGCATAGGGAAATGAGTATACGACATACTCATATACGGGTCTTAGAACAATAAAGGTTGTTAAAAAACAATAATAAAAAAACACAGCAAGCATTCTGAAAATGACTTTACAGTATCGATTCTCATGCTGTGCAGATTTCTGCAGTGGTTACTCTTTGGACAGAAAACTGAGTGAAAGTTACAAGGTGATTTATAAATGAATAAATTACATTAAATAAAAATTAACTGTGTTTGACTACGACGTAAAGTTCGTAAAGTTTTCGTCTTTTTGAAATTGGTCCTTAATTCACTCCTAACTTGCAATAAAGTGAAAAGCTTAATGAAATTATTGTCTAACGTATCTTAATAATCATCAAATTAAATAAAGGCTATTAAACAAACATTAAGATAATGCTATAATGTATCATAAAGTTAAATTTCAAACAGATAGTTGCGCAGCTTCTATAAGAACTAATGTTGTAAAATGTTGAGAAATATCTCTTATTAAAAGAAAAACAGAACCAATTGATAAAGCTATGGAATGTAACTCTTTGGGATATCTCCAAATTAATTTTCTACAAACCTCAGTACAGCTTTGCAGATTAGAATAGAAAAAATATTGGGACTTTCTTTAGCGTTTCCAAATGTCCATTTAAAGTTATTAGGCTGAAAGCTGTCTAAACACAAATAAAGTGTTATATCAACTTTGATATTAACTTGAAATTCTTGATATTAACGTTTAATTGAAAAATAGGAATAAACATAATTCTTTTTCGTGCTTATTGTGCAATAATCGTAGTAGAAAATGACGATTTTCAGAGAATGCTTCACCATCGAGTATAAAAACGAAAATTTCCATAGAAAAAGTAAAAACTACAGGTCATTTTAAATTATGCGATCCATTGAAAATTGTTAATAAAACACAAAACATTTTAACAAGTAATCTGGAAATACAGTATCTGGGAACTAAGTTATCTAACGTATACTCTTTGTAACCAAAAAGTATAAGGAATTTTTATTAAAATAATTAAAAAAGCAGAATATATAAAGTTAATATAAAAAATAGTTAGATCTATAATGGCTTACACTGTTAAAACACGAGCTGATGCAAACCTAAAGCAAAGATTATTAGAAAAATGGAAATAAAACTACTTCAGTAGAATAATAAAAAAACAGGAAGGATTATCGGAAAAACTTAAAAGGATAGGAAATTAAATTCAACATTTCATCAACATTGAAAACAATAAAACACATTGAGATCTATTTTGTCTAAAGAAGAAATGCATTTCTAAAATACCTTGTGAATGCGATCAATTTTAATTTAGGTAAAACATCAAGGCCATTAAATGTTAGAATAAGTGAACATCAATTTTATAATAAAAATAGAGAATTTTGGTAAGCCTCAATATCAAAACACCGCATGAGATAATGAATATAGGGTTTATTGGAGTGGTTCAAGTATGGTCTGTAAAAGAAACGGAAGGTAAAAAGAGAGAAATGAAAGAAGCGACTCTAATTAAGCTAAATGAGACCAATTGTGTCGCAAATTTCTGTGCAAAATGCAATAACATCTGATTACCCATATTAAAGAGGAAGTTAATAAAAGGAAATTATCACTATTAGTAAAGTTAGTCCAGTACCGTCTCGAGTATACATCATTTATGTTTTTTTAAAAAACAAACATATAAAATCAGAATTTGGTGTTTGAGAATAAACTAAATGAAAGACCAAATACTTACCATGCCGGGATAGTATTATGGAATCACTATGGAATCACAAGCAGGAGAATTTTACTGTCGTCACGGTATGTGGTTGTCATTTTAACGGACGAATTCTCAAGTTAAAGTTGATTTTATGTAATCGAATGAACTATCTTACAAAAAAGTTGTCCCAGGAACGCAACTCGTATAATATTGGCAATAAAGCCGCCTACTTTAAAATGTATAATGTATATCTGAATTGTCAATATAACTAAGTCATGTAAAATAAAATTATTAGGAAAAATTTTTAAACCAAGTAACAAAAAACAAAATTTGTTTAATTTATTAATATTTGTATTTTGAAAATGATTTCCGAAGTCGAAATTGAAACGTCAATGAACTTACTTTAACCTTCAATTGTGCCTTATTCCCATTAAAATAGTAATTATAACAAAAAAAAAAACTGGCTTGACTACTTACAAAGCATTCTAGACAATCTAGCTATGAAAATAATATAGAAAGAAACAACCAAGGAAGTAAAACCAAGAGAAGTTTACGAAGATAGACGAATGTGTAATTAAAATAAATCATTTTTTTTTAATTATATCTCAAATTTTCCCGTAAGAAAACAACAAAAGTAATTAGCGTAACTTACTTTGGAGTACATAATTGCCGAGACGAACGTCAATATTAGACTGACTTCCAATTAATTAGTAAAGCTTTTTATACCTAACAAAAAACGTATCGAAATGAAAAATGACAAAATGCAATCCATTCATATCGACCTGAAAAATCAGAACAATACCTACGTAAGATAAATGTTACAATGATTTACCAAATTTTTTGACCTAGATACTTTACTAGATATCATTATGCGTAATATGCAAATGCCGATAATTATTTAACTAATTAAGCATACATTTAGTTGTACTAATTAGACAAATGTGTAATTTGGAGATTATAGTTTTATGGTATTAGGATATTGTACATTAAACGAAACTGATTAAACTTGAGAAGAATTTCAGATACTTATTAT